ATCTAATTATTTTATTGGGTTTCCCTGGTGGCCCAGAGGTTAAAGCATCTGCCTGCAATGTGGGAGACCTGGGTTCAATCCCTGGGTTGGGAAGATCCCCTGGAGAAAGAAATGGAGAATCCCATGGACGGAGGAGCCTGGTGGGCTACGGAGTCCACAGGGTTGCAAAGAGTCGGACACGACTGAGCCACTTCACTTCACATAAATTGTTATATGTCAAATTTGGAACAAATTTTAAAATACAGCTGGAACAGACAGAAAGATTATCCAAGAAACAAAAACAAAAAACCTAAAAAATGGATCTTTATGTCTGTATCAAAATTAACAATGCCTGTCCAATTACAAAAAAAAATTGTTAACTGGAATGAAATGTAAGCAACCCATATAACTACTAACAGATGAGTGCCCAGACATAATTGCTACAAATCAATAAGAATTAAAAAATAGCAAATAGAAAAGTAGGTAAAAGCAACTTGTTGAAAATACAAGTGACCTATAAATATATATAAATATATTCAATTTCACTAGTTATGAGGGATGTGTCAATTCAGGCAACAATGAAAACCATTTCTCATGGGTCAGTTCACCATGTTTCAAGTTTAATTATACTATGTCAGCAATCATGTAGAGAGTAGGTATCCTCCTAAAACACTAGCAGGAAACATAATGCTGCTATGAACAACAATCTGACTCTGTTTAAAAATTTAAAGGTATGTATCCTATGATCCAGAAATTTCATTTCTAATGTCAATACATAGATATTTTCTCACAAACACACAAAGAGGCATGCTTGAAAATGTTGGTTGTTTTTTATAGTAACAAATGCAAACTACCTCAGTGTGTACTAAAGGAGAAATGTCAAACTATATAGTATGACCATTTGGTGGAATTCTATATGACAGTTAAAAAGAGTAAGGTAGATATGTCTACTCCAGTATGAATATATTATTGTCTTATTATTCACTGTCTTATTATTCACTAAAAGAAATGAACTGCAGAAAAATACCTAAAATAAAACTATTTTCTGGACTTCCCTGGTGGTCCAGTGGTTAAGAATCTGTCTCCCAAAGAAAGGAACACGAGGGTTTGATCCCTCGTCTGGGAAGATTCCACATGCTGCGGAGCAACTAAGCCCATGCATCACAACTACTGAAGCCTGTGCACCCTTGAGGTTGTGTTCTGCAGCAAGAGAAGTCACTACAATGAGAAGCCCACACACCACAGTTAAAAGGAGCCTCCACTCGTGGCAACTAGAGAAAGCCAAGCACAGCAACAAAGACCCAGCGCGGCCAAACATAAATTGACTAATTAATCATTTTTAAAAGACTATTTTTAAATATATAAAACTACCCCTTTCCTCATGTCACATACAAAAGTCAATTCTAGGCAGACTTTTCATGTAAATGTGAAAGATAAAAGAGTGAAAGTTTAGAGCACAATGTAAGAAAATATCTTTCTAACAATGTGTTAGGAAAAAAAATTCTTATGGAAGTCCAGACACTACACAACTCATAGAGGAAAAGCTAGGCAGAACACTAGATAACATAAATTGCATCAAGATCCTTTATGACCCACATCCTAAAGTAATGAAAATAAAAACAAAAGTAAGCAAACAGAACCTAATTAAACTTAAAAGATTTTACACAGCAAAGGAAATCATAAACAAGATGAAAAGATAACCCTCAGCATGAGAGAAATTATTTGCAAATAAAGCAACTGACAAGGGATTAACCCCTAAAAATAAACCCCTAAAAATAATCAGCTCATGCAGCTCAATATCAAAAAAAAAAACCCAATCAAAAAATGGGCAGAAGACCTGAACAGACATTTCTCCAAAGAAGACATACAGATGGCCAACAAATACATGAAAACATGCTCAACATCCCTAATTATTAGAGAAATGCAAATCAAAACTACAATGAGGTATCACCTCACCAATCAGAATGGCCACCATCAAAAAATCTACAAACAGTAAATGCTGAAGAGGGTGTGGAGAAAAGGGAATCCTCTTGCACTGTTGGTAAGAATGCAAACTGATATAACCATTATGGGAAACAGTATGGAGGTTCCTTAAGAAACTAAGAATAAAGCTACCATATGACCCAGCAATCCCACTACTGGGCATATACCCTGAGAAAACCATAATTTAAAAAGACGCATGTACCCAGTGTTCATTGGAGCACTATTTACAGCAGCTAGAACATGGAAGGAATTTAAATGTCCATCAACAGATGAATGTATATATATACACACACATACACAGTAGAATATTACTCAGTTATAAAATGGAATGAAACTGGGTCCTTTGTAGTCATGTGGATGCACCTAGGATCTGTCATACAGAGTGAAGTAAGAAAGAGAAAAACCAACACTGTTTATTAACGTATATATACGGAATCTAGAAAAATGGTATTGTTGAACAGATAAGGTCTCTGTGTCTTTGTCTGATTTCAGGGCAGGAACAGGGACAAAGACACAGAGAACGGTCTTACTCACATAGAGAGGGTAAGGAGAAGGCGGGACGAATTGAGAGCGCAACAGTGACACAGATGCACTCCATGTGTAAAACAGCTAGTGGGAAGCTGCTGCATGCCACTGAGAGCTCAGCTTAGTGAGGATGATCCAGAAGGGTGGGAGTAGGGAGAGAGGTTCAAGAGGGAGGGGATATTTGTACAAATATAGTGGATTCGTGCAACTGTACGGCAGAAACTAACACAACATTATAAAGCAATTATACTCCAATTTTTAAAAATTAAATTAGAAAAAAATTTCAACAGTACACAAAATGTATAATCCATACGGTAAAATACTGATATACTGGACTACATTCAAATGAAGAATTTCTGATGATCAAAGAGACACTTTGAAATCCATGAAAGCCTCATATTGAGAATGTATAACGAACTCCTACAACACTCCTATATTAGTGGGAAGTGTTTATCAGCACAAATACTTTAGAAAACTGGCATGACCACTGAAGCTGAACATACACATAAACTATGATTCTCCAAGTCCTCTCCTGAGTGTAATGAGACAGAAATGCATGCATGTATACATCAAAGACTCGTACAAGAGTTTTCACAGCAGCACTTTTTGTATTAAGAAAATTTGCAAGCAAGCTAAGTGATTACACTTGAGAAGGGGGATTTCTGGTATAAGGGGTGTAACAGAAATGTTCTGTATCTTGACCTGGGTGGTAGATGGATGAGTATTTAGTTGTGGACTTCTGTGTGTGCTTGTGTACAGGTTTGTAATGCTCAATAAAAATAATTTAAAATATATACACATACATACAATTATAGAAGACAAACCAGAAAATTTGAACAACTGATTGTATATTAATATATTAAAGAATTCTTGTTAATATTTTAGGAGAAGAAAGTCATTAGGTGTGATTATGTTTTTTTTATGTTTGTTTTTAAGAGTCTTTATATCTTAGAGAAGCTTACTATTTATAGTGAAAGGATATTATGTCTGAGATTTTCTTTAATCTGTGGTGGAGTGACAGGAGGGGCACAAGGAGGTATAGTTGAATAAGACAATGAATTTGTAATTGTTGAAGCTAGGAGTTAATATAATAGCTGTTGAATCTAGGGGTGACTACATGGGGGAGCTTCATTATATAATTCCCTCTACCTTTGGAAATTTTCCATAATGCTAACTTTAAAAATATAAACATCCAAAATAATAGTCTGCTTGCTGTTTAGTCGCTCTGTCGTGTCCACCTCTCTGTGACCCCGTGGACTGTAGCCCACCAGGTTCCTCTGCCCATGGGATCTCCCAGGCAAGAATGCTGGAGTGGGGTGCCATTTCCTTATACACTATTACATGTACATCACACACACACACACACACACACACAGGCACACACACACACACAGGCACACACACACACACACACACACACACACACAGGCACACACACACACACACACACACAGGCACACACACACACACAGGCACACACACACACACAGGCACACACACACACAGGCACACACACACACACACACAGGCACACACACACACACACAGGCACACACACACACACACAGGCACGCACACACACACACACACAGGCACGCACGCACACACACACAGGCACACACACACACACACACAGGCACACACACACACACACAGGCACACACACACACACACAGGCACGCACACACACACACACACAGGCAGGCACGCACACACACACACACACACACACACACACACACACACACACACACACACACACACACACACACACACACACACTATGTGCTTCCCTGATGGCCCAGATGGTAAAGAATCTGCCTGCAATGTGGGAGACCTGGGTTCAGTCCCTGGGTTGGGAAGATCACCTGGAGAAGGGCACAGCTACCAACTCAGTACTCTTGCCTGGAGAATTCCTTGAACAGAGGAGCCTGGCAGGCTACAGTCCACGGGGTCACAAAGAGTCGGACATGACTGAGCAATTTTCACTTTTACCACATACTATGTGTAAAATATCAGAGAAGGCAATGGCACCCCACTCCAGTACTCTTGCCTGGAGAATCCCATGGATGGAGGAGCCTGGTGGGCTGCCGTCTATGGGGTCGCACAGAGTCGGACACGACTGACGCAACTTAGCAGCAGCAGCATATGTAAAATACATATACATGTGTTCTTTGTAAAAGAAATCTGTATGTGCATGTAAATTCACTGCATTAGGTCCGGAAGGACACACCACACTAGCAACAGTGATTAATTTTGGGGCAACGAATGGGATGAGTAATGTTTATAATGTTTATCTTTTCTCCAAGGAGAGTTTATTCATATACAATGAGTAAAATGAAAAGCTAATTTAAATTAAAAATAAAATAAAAATAGGCTTTTAAAAATTAGCATATATAAAATTCTTATTTCTCAGCTTACTATCGCTTTTTAAAAGGTAATGTTGAACATTTTTTTTTTAACTCAAGTAAAAGTTTAAGACCTAATGAGACTTAAGAAAGTAGTTTGAAAACCTCTGAATCTCTGGCGCAGTCATCAGGTATCCTTCATGCATTACATCAAAGACAAAAACTCGGCCTCGACATAACACTGCAAGGTGACTTGGGGAATGTCCTTCACTCTCTGGAAAGAAAGAAAACACAAGACTCAAATCTCTGAAAGCAAGAGTGAAAAATCATTCCTCCAATATTTTATTTATCATATATCCATCAAATATGTCACATGAATAAAAACAGTAAGGTGATAAAATTTCAGTTTTGTCATAAATACATGTTCTTGAAACCTCTCTATGTCAAACATCTAGATTTTCATGTTTCAAATTCTGTATACTTTAAGAACCATATAAATTCCATACTACTACAGGGCTTTCTCGTTTTGTTTATGGATAGGCTGGGAGGGGGAAAGGGTTGCAGAGAACTCCAGGAGGAGAGTTATTTGAGTTTCTTTGGGGGATTACTTTCCTGTTGATTGATCATCAGATTATTAAACTGCAATAATATCTAGCTAGGATTTCTCAGCAAAGTATTTTTCAGTAGAATAAGGGTACTTTTCACTCGAGTGGCAAGGAGAAAGAATTTTGCCCAGTTTGTAGTGTTACGGAAGGCTCTGATAACACCTGGTAAGTCACTGACAATTGTTTGACTCATTTGGCACACCTTAATTACCCAGGAGCTATTTGTTTTTGAGATTTGTAAATAACAGACCATTCTGACTTAGTCCCATTTTTCAAGAACTAGGCTCTGACAAGGCTCTTCCTATACGAACTCTGCCTCTTCCCTCTCAAAAAAGGAAGGAAGGAAGTTAGGAGAGACATATAATGCCATTGGAAGCAAACTGATTGGTTGATATGTACAAGGAAATGTGCTAAATGCTTTACACATGTTTTCTCATGATATCTACTCATTAGCTATGAGGAAGAACTATTTCCTGAAAGCACTATTATTTTTCCTCTTACGTCCTCTTTCCTCAGAGCTGGGGTATGTGTTTTCTGTGTCCCTCATGGCTATTTCCAAATCATTTCTTCCCCTTCACAAACCTCCATATCCTTTTACATTTACCGTCACTACCTTTTATTGTCCTCTACTACTTAAAATTTGGGGCTGTAAACAGGAAATAAACCTGAGGGCAAGTTAATATTTGGGGAGAGGAGGACAGAGGGTGCTACCTAAGGATGAGCATCAGAGGTGATATTTGATCAGAGACCAAAGTAAAGTAAAAGAGCTAACAAAGAAATATGTGCAGGAAGAGAGCTTCAGACAAAGGAGTCAGCAAGTGCGAAGGATTGGGGCAAAATGAGCTGGTCTGCTTAAAGGGAGAAAAAGGTCAGTGCAGCTGCAGCAGAGAGAAATAAGTAAAATGGCAGAAAAAACTGGGGCCACATCCTATGGGCCTTAGAAAGGGCTTGCAATTTAAAAAATGATGGAAAAGAAGCCAGTGGAAGGTTTTAAGCAGGACAGTAATAATGTCATCTAATTAATACTTTACAAAGGGCATTCCAGCTGCCATATGAAGAAGGGATTATAAGTGCGAAGAGAATACATAGCAGAATCAGTTAGGAGGTAACTGAAGTGGTCCAGGTGAGAACAACCAGAGAGGTGATGGTGGCTTTGACTAGGGTGTGACACTGAAAGAAAGCAAGAGGTCAATTTTTTCCTTTTAAGATGCGACATATTACAGACCTGTCCAACCCAGTAAAGAGGGAAAACTGTTAACGCAGCACAGAGGGAAGGATAATGCAAAAGCAAGGCTCATGATTAAACAAGAGGTGGCAGAGCCCAGGACATCATGCAGAAGGGCAATCCTTAGGAATCAGAACAGTTCATCCATCTTTATAGAGAGAAGACAAAGTAAATGAACATGTAATAGAGCACTGCAAGGGGGCTGCAAAATGGGCTAACATTTGAATGAATATGTTTCTACGACTGCTGTAATAAAGTACCACTAACAAGAAAATTTTATTGTCTTACAGCTCTGGGGACTACAAGTTTGAAATGTGTCTCTCTGGGCTAAAATGAGGGTTGTCTCCGAGTCTGGGTTCCTTCTGGAGGCTGTAGGAGAGAATCTGTTTCCTTTGATTTTTCAGCCTCTAAAGGCTGTCCATATTCCTTCCTGACTCAGAGCTCCATCCCTTCATCTTTTAAAAATAAATATTTTTAAATTTTTTTGGCTGTGCTACATAGTTTGCAGCGTCCTTAGTTCCCTGATTGGACCCGGACTTCGGCAGTAAAGTGCTGAGTCCTAACCACTGGATCAGCAAGGAATCCCTTCCATTCCTCCATCTTTGATGCCATCAAGGGAGGATCATAACTTCCTCATGCTTCTAGCCTTTGGCTCTCTCTGCTTTCTCTTTCTTCACTTATAAGAATTCTAGTGATTACTCCGGGCCCAGGTGAATAATCCAGGATAATCTCCCTATCTCAAGCTCAACTGATTATCAAATTTAATTTATTCACAATTTAATTCCCCTTTATCATTTAAGGTAACACATTCAATAGGTTCCAAGGATTAGAAAGTGGACATCTCTGGAGATCATTTAGTCTACCTGCCAGATAGGTTAGCAACTTTGATGATAGAAACATTACTTTACATTTGTTGAGAAGTAAGAGAGTTCATTAGCTAGGAATAAAGATGGAGAAAGTCATCAAACAGTCTTCTCTGAAAGTGAGAGAATACCCTGACAAAATACAGCAAGGTAGTGCTTTGGATCCACTTGAGGTTCACTGAGAAAAGTGATGTTTTGTGGATTTCTGTGGCCAAGTAAACTACTAGGGTAGATGTCTTTAATATGTGTAGTAAAAGCAGAAGACTAAAATTTACACAGTGTTGAGGTGGGGGTGGAGATGAGGAGGGAGAAGGTGAGCAAAGGCTTGAATGTATTTAACATATGCTAGGGAATGGTACGGAGAAGGCAATGGCGCCCCACTCCAGTTCTCTTGCCTGTAAAATCCCATGGACAGAGGGGCCTGGTGGGCTGAAGTCCATGAGTCGCTAAGAGTCAGACACGACTGAGCGACTTCACTTTCACTTTTCATTTTCATGTGCTGGAGAAGGAAATGGCAACCCACTCCAGTGTTCTTGCCTGGAGAATCCCAGGGACAGAGGACCTTGGCAGGCTACAGTCCATGGGATCACAGAGAGTCAGACATGACTGAAGCAACTTAGTATACACACAAAAAAACCAAAAAACAGCAAAAACTTCAAACCAGGCCTAATTATTGCTTCCTTACTGAGACTAGCCTCTTAGCTGCAGTGGCTAGCACGTTGTTATCCCCATCAACACATACTTTCTTCGATTTTCTCCTTAACCAGAGTAGATTCCATACCCAACATTATAATTTCTCCCTTGCAAAAATCCTTCACTCCCTCTTCCACTGCGGATGCTTAAGAAAAAATACAGTATACCATATAGTCTAACTTTAAACTCATAAACACACATTTCAACACTGTTTAGGTACCCTACGTTTATACAGAATGTGTGCTTTTCCCATTTTCCAAAACAACCATTTCAAACTATCAAATGATGCAATGTAAGCACTAGGCTTGTATTGAACTATGTAAGACACACTTTCAAAAAAAATCCATTCCCATAAATTACTTCCTGTTAAATCACTATGGCTGAAAGATAAAGTTCATAGAAAGCCTAGTCTTTCTATGACTAGTCCAAATCAAAATCCAATAAAACTAGTCAAAATCCAGTAAGAAATATTCTTCAAAATACTATGTTCCATAACATCACAGGAACTCCCTGGCAGCTCAGCGGTTAGGACCTGACACTTTCACTGCTGTGGGCCTGGGTTCTGTCCCTAGTCAGGGAGCTTCGATCCTGTAAGGCACATGGCACAGCCAAAAAAAGAGTACATTCCACAGCATCACAGAAAAACTGCAGCAAAACTACCCAAATCCTGGGGCTTCCCTGGTGACTTAGTAGTAAAGAATCCATCTGCCAAAGTAGGGAACATGGGTTCAATCCCTGGTCTGGGAAGATCCCACATGCTGAGGAACAACTATGCCCGGGTGCTGCAACTACTGAAGCCCCCACTTGCCACAACTGTTAAGTCAGAGAAAGCCGAGTGCAGCAACAGAGACCCAGAACAGCCATAAATTAAATAAATAAATCTTAAAAAAAAAAACAACTACCCAAATCCCAATGCTTTTACCAGAAAAAGTACAAACGTTTTCTACTTACCAGTCCTAAAATAATTAATAACTGAATCTCTAGTAATTCCTGGAATCTTGCAGGTGGAAAACAACATTCGGAATTGATTCATATCTAGAGGAGTATTTCCAATTTTTTCAACAGCTAACTTTTCTCTATTAAAAACAAACAAACAAACAAAAGTATATTGACCAAGAAATCATTATAAAACTTTTAAACCAAATAGTCACACCTATAGTATTCATCCCCAAATGAGTAAATTAAGCTTCTCAACATTTTGCCACCAAAGACTTTGGGTAAATATGTAATTGAATTGACATAACTATCCTTACTTTCTTATTAGCTGCCAGTAGTTCAAGTTATGCCAAAGACTTATACTTCCTCTTTCCAATTGTGTGCCTTCCTTTGGAGGCCAGTAGTGTTCAATATGGCTTGCAGGCCCCCCAAAGTTGACATTCAGTTGTGATGGTATACGAACATCCAGGTAGGCAACATTCAGCCACCACTCTTCCAGCTAAAAGAAATTAAGAACATCAGCCTAATGCTATTGATAGTATCAATACCTGAAGGTGTAACTGCTGAGGAAAAAAAAAAAGCTCTATTTGCTCTTTTTTCTTTAATTACTCTTTAACACTTAAAAACATTTCATTTTAAATCATTACAAATAGTAAAAATGCTATTGTGATCATTTCTTTCTTTTGGAATTATGGGATCTGAATTAAGTACTGTTCAAGTTTAACTACATTATAGAAAACATGAAACAGGAAAGCATTGAAAGAAACACCTTCAAACAGAGCGTATTAAAATCATCAATATCCAACAAAGCACTCTAGGTGTGTTTTCCCAGAGTACCTGTTCACAACTGCAATTGAATTTCACGTGTAAGTAAGTGGATCTCATCAAATTACCTGGCGCTCTTTTTGAAGAATTTGATGTTACAAACTATAGTCAGTCATTTGGAAAAATATAAGTGAAAAGGATACAGGCAGAACAATGACTTCTTTAACCTTTACCCTAATTTAAAGTCACTGAAGGCTCAAAATTGAGAAAAAAAGGAATCTAGACATATAAACTTGTATTACTCCATCATAGGTATCTAAAGGACAATAAAAAGATCAGTTTGCTTTTTACTTCTAAAACTAAATGATAGTTACAAACATTATTTCTAGACTAAGGCTGTATCTTAAATGATGAAAACTCATCCTACAGAAGTATAGTTGTTAAGATGAAAAATCAAAGAAGATTCCTTGTGAAAAATTACTGAGATCTTTATACCAATGCTTCCTCAATCTATCCAACTGAAACACAGAATACTCATAACCATTCTTCACTCCAGTTTTCTAATGGCCCTTTTCTCCTATGCACTGTATAAATATTTGCACACCATCAATGTGATACCTATTTTAGTATTTTGGGCTTTTTTTTAGGCTATGATTATCTGGACAAAATGTTTTTCTCAAACATGGTCTAAAGATGACCTGCATCAGAACTGCATAGGGTAGTTAAGTAAGGATATCTGGGCCTCCTGTCCAGAGATACTGAATCAGAATCACTGGTCCCAGGAATTCTGCATTTTACCAAGTTCCCCCACATAATAAAAGGAACCCACACACAATACTTGAAACTCCCCAGAGTTAAACAATTCATTCATTCTTTTGGATGATAAAGACAACAGTAACTGTAAGGATTCTACAGTATAATTGTACAGTAATAGTATTCTACAGTATATTCTACAGTAATAATTTAAAAATGAAAGGTAGATACACGTTTACTTTTCATTAAGTATCAATATTCTAATAAATACAGTAACATAAATACCCAGTTTCTTTTTCCTTTTGCTCTTTGAAGTAATTTCTGCTGCAATTTTTCTCCAATACCATTTTGAAATTTCCGGACAATTGCTTCAGTATTTTTATATTCTTTCTCATTTGCAAATGGCTTTACTGTAAAAGGAAGAAATATGCATTAAAGTATTTAGATGTCAAGTACCACAAACTCACCTCAATTATTATTACTTACATAAATCTTGACTCAGCTATATAAAACACTTATATATATATTAGAGCAGTCCACTAAATTAGAGTTTATAACATGAAAATGGCTGAAAAGCAATAATGCAAAATACTTCAAAAAATAAAACAGTGGATACTATGTAGTCTGATAACTATTTCTCCCAAAATTATTTTAAAATCATTCTAGACAATGATAGTTAAAATGACACACAGGACTATCACCTAGTTATTAGTCCAATAGGAAAGTAAGTCCTGTTTAGCCATTACTGTGAGAAATTAAAAGCTTCTTTCCATTAATGTTCAAGCAGAGCCTTACACATTATGAATGTAAATGCAGCATATATGTAGATTTAAGTGTAAAGCCTTCCCAGAGCAGTTTAGGATCGCTTGTGGCCAATAACGATTTTCTTCAAGAACACATACACAGAATACAGGGTGCCAAGAAGGAAATGGCAGCCCACTCCAGTGTTCTTGCCTGGAGAATCCCAAGGAGGGAGGAGCCTGGTGGGCTGCCATCTGTGGGGTTGCACAGAGTCAGACACGACTGAAGCGACTTAGCAGCAGCAGCAGCAGTCCATGAAAACCAAGTGTTCTGAAAATTAAGCTATAGATGAAAGTATAAATCCCTTAATTAGAAATCAAGGGACATTAATATCTTCCTTTTGATTTATTTTTGCCTCCTCAAAACCTTAACGTTAATTTAAATAGCTGCATTCAGACAGCACAAGTGAATAATCAGAAAGTTTTTTTTAAAAAAAGAAACTAGAATTCCCAGATGAAAGTAAGTGAGAAAGAAAGAAAAAAAAATCAGAGGTCTTCCAGTTAAACAAAGGGAACTAAGTTCATAAATGTATCTTCACTTCTAGTAACTCACTAAAATGAGAATTACTAAAAAAGTGTAAGGACAAAGAACATGAAAGAAGAGAGGACAGCAGAGAGGTTAACATTTTACAAATTAGAAAACAGGTGGGGAAATGGTGACTGACCACAGAATGGACAAAGTATCCATAGCCTAGGGAGTAGAAGGAAGTGGGAAGTTAAGGAGGGTTTGGTGCAAACCCAAGCAAGCCAAGTCCTGCAGTGGAAGTCTAGGAAGGTTCAAAAATTCAAGACACACAGACTTCTAAAGATAAGGGACAATATGAGGCTGAAAACAGTATGACTGCTTCAATGCCTGTAAAAGCAGCTGACAACCACCCCATCCACACTTGCCCTTGTGAATCTCCTACACTCCAGAAAGCCAGACAACTTCCTCCCTCCCAATAGCCTTAGAAATATGAAGGTTTACCCTTAGGAGAAGTTGTAACAAACTAGCAGAATACATGGATTCCAGCTCACATTTTAAAGAGGGTTAACAATGAAAGTGCACACTAGAACAATGATCCCTCCTGCCTCTTCCTCCACTCAGCTCTCCAAACACTAGCCATCAGGCTTCTGCCTTCTTAACAAAAGATGAGAGAATTCTTCTTCGGGGAAAATATCAGTTCAAGAGAAAGGAGTTTGGGCATTTGGATATGTCCCAGTAGAACTTCTAGATCTCTGCCCTATTACCCTTTATGGTTCATTATAAGGCCCACAGGTCACCAAGGTCTACCCACACACTCAGAGCTCCCCATAAGCTTTTCAGGATCTGCCTCAAATGTGAATGACAAAGAATTGCCACATATTAGAGGAACGCCTTTCATGTAGGAGTCAGACCAAAAAAGGACTGATGATGCCAAATATTAAATGGACCAAAAAGGGACAAGTGGCTCAGAAGGTAAAGAATCAGCCTGCAATGCAGGAGAACTGGGTTTAATCCCTGGCTCAGGAAGATCTGCCGGAGAAGGGAATGCAACCCACTCCAGTATTCTTGCCTGAAGAACTCCATGGACAGAGAAGCCTGGTGGGCTGCAGGCAATGGAGTTGCAAAGAGTCGGACATGACTGAGTGACTAACACGCTCACTTTCACTAATAAAATGAAAGGAAAACAACTTTTCAATTAAAAACTTTGCCGAGAAGAACCAGATCCAAGTAATAGGAGCTTCTCTCAGAAAGAGAGTGAAAAAAAGAGGAGAAAACTACAAAACACGTGATACTTTAAAAATTTCTTGGGTGGAATGGTGCGGGGGGAAGGACGCTCAAGAAGGATGGGATATACATATAATTATGACTGATTTGTTTTGTTGTATGGCAGAAACCAATACAACATTATAAAGCAATTTTCTTTTTTTTTTTTTTAGAATTTTTTTTTCCCCCAATTATTTTTATTAGTTGGAGGCTAATTACTTTACAATATTGTAGTGGTTTTTGCCATACATTGACATGAATCTGCCACGGGTGTAGATGTGTTCCCCATCCTGAACCCCCCTCCCACCTCCCTCCCCATCCCTTCCCTCTGGGTCTTCCCAGTGCACCAGCCCCGAGCACTTGTCTCATGCATCCAACCTGGACTGGCGATCTGTTTCACACTTGATAACATACATGTTTCTATGCTGTTCTCTCAGATCATCCCACCCTCGCCTTCCCCCATAGAGTCCAAAAGTCTGCTCTATACATCTGTGTCTCTTTTTCTGTCTTGCATATAGTGTTATCGTTACCATCTTTCTAAATTCCATATATATGTGTTAGTATACTGTATTGGTGTTTATCTTTCTGGCTTACTTCACTCTGTATAATGGGCTCCAGTTTCATCCATCTCATTAGAACTAATTCAAATGAATTCTTTTTAATGGCTGAGTAATATTCCACTGTGTGTATGTACCACAGCTTTCTTATCCATTCGTCTGCTGATGGGCATCTAGGTTGCTTCCATGTCCTGGCTATTATAAACAGTGCTGAGATGAACACTGGGGTACACATGTCTCTTTCAGATCTGGTTTCCTCAGTGTGTATGCCCAGGAGTTGGATTGCTAGCAATTTTCCTCTAATTAAAAAAAAGAATAATTTCCTAGAACTGAAGAACTTTTTTTTTTTTTGAAGAACATAACTTTTAAACAGAAAGGACCCACTGAATGTTCAGAGAAATAATGAAAATACCTATACATCATGATACATCACTGGGATATTCAGAATAACAGAGATAAAGAAATGGTTTCCAAACACATTTAGGGAGTGAAAAACAACAGGTCACATATAAAAGGTCAAACACCAGAACAGCATCAGGTTTCTCAAGAGAAACAGTCCCTTCAAAACTTAAGAAAAGTCATTTCCCAAGGGTGCCCACTCTCACCACTACTATTCAACATAGTTTTGGAAGTGTTGGCCACAGAAATCAGGGCAGAAAAGGAAGTAAAAGGAATCCAGATAGGAAAAGAAGAAGTGAAACTCTGTTTGCAGATGACATGATCCTCTACATAGAAAACCCTAAAGACTCTACCAGAAAATTACTAGAGCTAATCAACGAATACAGTAAAGTTGCAGGATATAAAATTAACACACAGAAATCTCTTACATTCCTATACAGTAACAATGAGAAAACAGAAAGAGAAATTAAGGAAACAACACCATTCACCATTGCAACAAAAAGAATAAAATACTTAGGAGTATATCTACCTAAAGAAACAAAAGACCTATACATAGAAAACTATAAATCACTGATGAAAGAAATCAAAGAGGACACAAACAGATGGAGAAATATACCGTGTTCATGGATTGGAAGAATCAATATTGTCAAAATGGCTATACTACCCAAAGCAATCTATAGATTCAATGCAATCCCTATCAAGCCACCAACGGTATTTTTCACAGAACTAGAACAAATAATTTCACAATTTGTATGGAAATACAAAAAACCTCGAATAGCCAAAGTAATCTTGAGAAAGAAGAATGGAACTGGAGGAATCAACCTGCCTGACTTCAGACTATACTACAAAGCCACAGTCATCAAGACAGTATGGTACTGGCACAAAGACAGAAATATAGATCAATGGAACAGAATAGAAAGCCCAGAGATAAATCCACAAACCTGTGGTCACCTTATCTTTGACAAAGGAGGTAAGGATATACAATGGAAAAAAGACAACCTCTTTAACAAGTGGTGCTGGGAAAACTGGTCAACCACCTGTAAAAGAATGAAACTAGAACACTTTCTAACAGCATACACAAAAATAAACTCAAAATGGATTAAAGATCTAAACGTAAGACCAGAAACTATAAAACTCCTAGAGGAGAACATAGGCAAAACACTCTCTGACATAATCAAGATCCTCTATGACCCACATCCCAGAATTTTAGAAATAAAAGCAAAAATAAACAAATGGGACCTAATGAAACTTAAAAGCTTTTGCACAACAAAGGAAACTATAAGCAAGGTGAAAAGACAGCCCTCAGATTGGGAGAAAATAATAGCAAATGAAGCAACAGACAAAGGATTAATCTCAAAAATATACAAGCAACTCCTCCAGCTCAACTCCAGAAAAATAAATGACCCAATCAAAAAATGGGCCAAAGAACTAAACAGACATTTCTCCAAGGAGGACATACAGATGGCAAAAAAACACATGAAAAGATGCTCAACATCACTCATTATCAGAGAAATGCAAATCAAAACCACAATGAGGTACCATTACACACCAGTCAGGATGGCTGCTATCCAAAAGTCTACAAGCAATAAATGCTGGAGAGGGTGTGGAGAAAAGAGAACCTTCTTACACTGTTGGTGGGAATGCAAACTAGTACAGCCGCTATGGAGAACAGTGTGGAGATTTCTTTAAAAACTGGAAATAGAACTGCCATATGACCCAGCAATCCCACTTCTGGGCATACACACTGAGGAAACCAGATCTGAAAGAGACACGTGCACCCCAATGTTCATCGCAGCACTGTTTATAATAGCCAGGACATGGAAGCAACCTATATGCCCATCAACAGACAAATGGATAAGGAAGCTGTGGTACATATACACCATGGAATATTACTCAGCCATTAAAAAGAAGTCATTTGAATCAGTTCTAATGAGATGGATGAAATTGGAGCCCATTATACAGAGTGAAGTAAGCCAGAAACATAAAGACCAATACAGTATACTAACACATATATATGGAATTTAGAAAGATGGTAATGGTAACCCTATATGCAAAACAGAAAAAGAGACACAGATGTATAGAACAGACTTTTGGACTCTGTGGGAGAAGGCGAGGGTGGGATGTTTCAAGAGAACAGCATAGAAACATGTATATTATCTAGCGTGAAACAGATCACCAGCCCAGGTTGGATGCATGAGACAAGTGCTCGGAGCTGGTGCACTGGGAAGACCCAGAGGGATCGGGTGGAGAGGGAGGTGGGAAGGGGGATCAGGATGGGGAACACATGTAAATCCATGGCTGATTCACGTCAATGTATGACAAAAACCACTACAATACTGTAAAGTAATTAGACTCCAACTAATAAAAATAGATGAAAAAAAAAAAAAAGAAAAGTCATTTCCAACCCAGAATTCTATACTCAGCCAAACAATCAAGCATGGGTAGCATAAAAGCCTAATAGTACTACCTGGCTTTTTAAACTATGGAAAAATTAACATGAGAGAAAGACAGAAATGTTTTGGGCATTTTAAGGATACTTTTAATTATCATGAGCCTAGAGGACAAAACAATTAGACCCACATCAACTTCTGACAATTTCACAGTTAAGCTGCTAGCAATATTAACATACATTAAAAGATCACAAACATACCTGATTCAAGGTATTTTTTTAATGATTCTTCAAGTGAAGGAACAGGCAGTGATGGAAGGGAATCTTGGTACTGAAATGTCCTTTCTTCAGTGGATTTAGCCAGTTGATTTTCCATGATGAAGTCACAATAGGAACACTGTAGAAAAAAGCCCTCATAATTAAATCTTGTAAATATTCTTTTAGGTACTAGTTTCAATCCACTACATCAATATTTAGGGATCACAGTGTATCTAGGACTTGGTTCTAGTCCTTAGGAATTCACAGATTCGTCACAGAGAGAAAATCAATTAAAAAAACAAATGAACCAGAGACTCAAATTGCTAGAGGTCAAGGAGTGATCCTCAAGATCACTGTATTTTTTTGAGCACTGAATACTGGCCAAGTATTGCAGTAAGTGTGATAGAAACATGTCATCTCCTTCATCTTCATTCTATGAAAAATGGCATTCACTGCCATTTTACATAAGAAGTCAAATCTCAGAAATTTAGTAAATTGCCTAAGATCAAACCAACAACTCAAATACAGATCTGTTTGACCATAATCTTCCTCCCATACCTGATAGTGGGAGAGGGGACTTACAGTAAGTCAAAATGGGTAGGTAGAATGCAGATGTGTAGAAAAGGATAATGGACTGAGAGAAAGAAATTTCAAGAGGAAAATATGAAAAGGCATGGAAGAGTCATTAAATCATAAACTTACAAAATATTACAAGATGCATAAATCAACAGAATGCATTAGTCATAAACTGCGATAACCTAATTGTGCAGTGGTGTGAGGCCTACACAGAATGATCAAGTATCATAAAGCAATCTTGAACATTTTCCAGATGTATTAATTTTAGAGAAATCAAAGTAACACAAAATGTGAATAGAAAAAGAAATTCCTCAAAGAATTCTTTAAAATTGTATATTAAAATAGCAGCTGAGAAATCAAGGAACAGTAATATTGATTAAGAATTTCCTGTCCTTAAGAAAAAAAAAGAATTTCCTGTCCTTTCAAATACTACTTGTTAAAACTAATAGCAAAGTCAAAAAGTATACTCCACTCACAGAAAGTTACAGAATAAAACATTATATTAAAAAAAAAAAAAAAAACAATGGTGTAGCAGAGATTGCTTTAAGCCAATATAATTCTCGCCCTTTCTTAACAGAATCCCAAGACTCAACTGGGTAGCAGGCCACACAGCTGTATCTCTCCTACTCTCCCTTGGAGCTCGGTATGGCTTTTGAATGTGTATGCTGCCTCCAGATCATGCCCCTGTAAGGAACTACAGGTGTTCTCCTCTGCTTTCTCTCCTCCTCACTACCAAGCAGGAAAGTGTCAACTGGACTAGCACTTTGGACCCATTTATAGGAGACAGGTATTGAGGCTGTTAGCATCTTCCTACTAGCCCTGGACTCCTTCCTCTAGATGTATGAGAAAAACACAAAAAAACCACCACCACCACCACCACTGAAAAACCCTTTTACTTACGCCACTGTAGTTTGGCTTTCTTTGTTAAGGAACAAGAGCTTAGCCTACACCACTAATATAAAGAGATAATCCAAAACTGAGATACAACAAATATCCCAATTCCTCAGCTTTTTCCTATCTAAATGACTGACTGCACTTCACTGTGACCATCCATAAATATGGCTTTAGGACTAAAGGAAATGCAGATCTGGGTCCAAATGCCAACTCATCATTTTCTGCTCACATGCCCTGGGACAAATAACTTTATCTGAATTTCTTTATCTATAGAGAGGATATTCAAATAATGAGAATCGTTGTTAGGGTTAATTTTTTCCTTAATACCTTCAAAACTGAATTATAAAAATAATCTAGTTTTGAGACAACCACATCATGTTAAGCAGGATTTCTGTAAGTGGCCCTCTTGATTCTGGCCCTCTAATACCCAGAACCTGTGAATATGAGATTATCACTTCTTGGACTGTGATGGTGTTATTGCAAAATTGACCTCAAAGGAGAGGGATTAGCCAGGTGGGCCTAATCTAATCACTTGAGCTCTAAGGAGCAGAAAGCTTTCTCCAAGAGGTGGCACAAGATGAGTCAGGGAGATTAAAAGCATGAAAAGGGTTGAAGGTGTTGTCTGGCTTTGAAAATGCACATGCTCCTGTGGAACTGAGAGAGGCCCCAGGTGACGGCCAGTGAGGAAATAAGAACCTCAGTCCTAATGAAGATTAATTCTGCATGGAAATTAATTCTACCAACAGCCTCAATGAATCTGAAGATGGGTTCTCCCTCAGAAAGCCTGGACCAACAAATTCATTTCAGCTTTGTGAGACACTAAGCAGTGAACCCAGATAAACCTACCTAAACTTTGCATCTATAGAGATGCCAGTTAATAAACTTGTTTTTTAACTGTTAGGTTTGTGATAAATTGTTATGTAGCAATAGGAAACTAATACACCTATGTAGAAAAACAAGCTATCCTCTGTATACATCCGTGCCACTTAAGACTCTAGGCATCTGAGATCACGATTATCAATTCCATACTCACTACAGTCTTAATTCTGCAAGAGGTACACAGTAAAAATATGAATTATCAGATTCTTTCATAGAGGATTGCTTTGAACTCTCAATCACAAAGACTGAATAAAACCATTCCAAAAGAACCTATAAATAAATGCTTTAGGAAAGTGATGAGGCCGGACTTAATTACAGCGGGCCACCTGGAAGCAGGAAGATGGAAACTCTTGAGTACAAAACAGAATCGGGGAACAGAAATAAAAGGCAGAGATTACCACATACCGGTAAACCAAGATGAGTTGTTTAGGAATGCCAAGTGCTTGTTGCAACAATTCCGTTCAGGACCCACAGGGGTGTGAACTGAGCTGGTGAACTGCAGGCAGGACGAAAACAAGCTTAACAATTGCAGGAGTGAAAAATCAACAACGAGCGAAAAAGGGTGGAAGACACACAACTGAAGGGTTGGGAGGCGCCAAGTCTCATCCTTTCGGAACTTACAGCAAACACACGCAAAAAGTCCATCTGCCAGGAAGCTAGATTAAAAACTACCACACAGATTAACTAGGTTACCTACTAGGACCGCACTCCCTTCCGTTAGATAAGCCCCCGATAACAATGTACCTGCCGGTGCCCAGGGACCTGGTGCTGGCGATTTATCGCAGGGCTGCAAGTTCAAAGGCTGGCTCTAGAGACAGGAGGAGGGGCGACGAGAGCTCGGAGACGCCCCCCACCAAAGCAAAGGCAGCTCCGCACACCCTGAAAGCCACCAGGGGACAGCAATCTAACGAAGCACCACCACGGACCAGCCCAGCGGCCCAGCTTCAGGAGTACCTCTCAGACCCCGACCAGCGAGATGCCCGAAATCACCTCCGCCGAGTCCTGTCACCTCTGCGGCTCTACACCATTTACCTCTGTCCTTAACTTCTCCCCAACCCCAAAATTTGGGTGGAGAGAGGGAGGGAGCGCAACTCCACAAACTCCGCCGCAGCCCCCAGCTGCACGGGCCTGCTCCCTCACGCCCAGCCGAGCGAGAATTGGACAGAAAGCCTCGAGGGTCCCGCCCCGCGGTCACCGGGGAACGGGGATTGGTTGGGATGCCGCGAGGGTCCCGCCCGGTCCTTGAAGGCGCGGAGGGCGGGCCGGGCCTGCGCAGTCTCGCGACCTGGCCACGCCTTTCTCGGGCTTTCCCGGTCCCGAGCAGCTTTTTAGGCTGCCGGCGACCGACGGGCCTGGCGGGTGGGCGCTAAGGGCCACAGTCCGAACCCAGCCTGGCAGTAGTTTACTGCTTGCAGCCGGTGGACCACAGCGCCTCACTCGGAACGTGGCTGGAGCTGAGGGCCGGCCGCGCTCCGCTCAGGTACCTGACTCTCCGGAACCGGTATGAGAACAAATGGCCCATTTTCACGCAAGCTGTGCAAGACTCGCTGCGTTGTCCTCTTCTAGCTCTAGCTCCTACTTAGCAGCCGCTCTTCCCAAAGTGAAGAACTCCTTGTCACTTTTTGTAGCTCCCATGTAAGAATTTATACCAGTGCCTTAAGGAGGAATACTGTCGTTCCCTCCATGTCCTACCAAGAGAACAGTAACCACATAAGTCCCCACTTGGTCTCTCTTTTGCTTCATCCTCTGAGGCTGAAGTTTGCCCAGCGTAGACATCCTGCAGCACTGGGCTGCCGGAGCTTCCCCACCCTCCCACAGTTCTTTCTGCTGCCCGAGGTCCTTGAAGCGGGCAGGGACTCACACTGCAGACTTCAGGCTGACCTGATGCCTTCTACTGTCGCACCGAGAAATGAAGTTTTTAACCAGAGGGAACTAGGCAAATGTAGAGAACGATCACAATACAATGAACATAGCTTCACAAGCAAATCTGTTTTACATTTACTCCTGGAAATACACTGTTTAAGTTTTCATTTTAAATACACTTTCATTTTTGTGAAAGAAAAGACCAATAGTTTACAGTGACTGTGAACTGGATATCAAATATAAATAACTGGATTTCAAATTAACATGTCCGTTCCAGGCCCCAATCTTTTCCTAACTCTGTAAAATCTGACCAGAAGGAAACTGAGAATACAAATGAGTATTTGTTAAGTTCTCTGCGAAAATATGAATGAGTTTGGTTGCAGTGCATCTTCTGCGCTGGTGATGTTACATAATAGTGGCAGACACACTTTTCTGATAAATGTTTTGATTTCTGAAACATATCAGGCCAAATAAGGCTTTAGATAGGGGTTATAAAGTTGTGATTTCTGAAGATGCAGGAGGAAGGGGGGCACTTCTCTCATAGTATCTAGATGCTATGTTCTGGATGTTAAAATTAGCTTGCAAAATATTATTCTTAAACACAATTTTTATTTATTTATTTTTTTTTTAAATTAATTTTTATTAGTTGGAGGCTAATTACTTTACATCATTGTAGTGGTTTTTGTCATACATTGAAATGAATTAGCCATGGATTTACATGTATTCCCCATCCCGGTCCCTCCTCCCACCTCCCTCTCCACCCAATCCCTCTGGGTCTTCCCAGTGCACCAGGCCCGAGCACTTGTCTCATGCACCCAACCTGGGCTGGTGATCTGTTTCACCCTAGATAATATACGTGTTTCGATGCTGTTCTCTTGAAACATCCCACCCTCGCCTTCTCCCAGA